TAAATTATGTAAACTGTGAAGGCAGATGAGCTGGGACAATGTGCGTTCACGTAAGTCGTCGGTACGACACCAGGTCAGCTGACTTGCTGACGTCAAACGGAGACTGCGATGGTACCAACTGGCAAGCCATGTCGGTCGTCATCTCTACTCTTCGCCAGATTGTCGACAATCAGGTTCGCTAATAGCGCAACCAACTTGTGAATGGAAGATACCACGTTTCGCTACATGCGTCAGTCGGCCGGTCGTCTTGTTGCCGGGCTCATCTGCCCAGTGCTCATTCTGGGGAGGTGGAGCGACCCGGTTACTAGGCGTTTTCTCCTCTAAATCCCCCCTTTTGCCTCCCTCCCCCTCTCAGCTGCCGGCCGGTCTGGCCTCTTCTCGGGCTCGCTGCCTCCGGCCCTCTTGACGGCCGCCTCGGTGCCTTCCCTGCCCCCCACAACACCCACCCCCACCCACCTGGCAACCGTTTCCCTCGAGTCTCGTCTCCACCCAACGGCCGGCCCACCACCGCTGCTGCCACTGCAGACCGCCGCCTCTCTGCCTCTCGTCCCGAGCGGGACTCGACTGGGCGACTTTCGTCTTGTCCCCAGTCAACGTTGCTTCCCTCCGCCGGGCCCCAACCCCCCAGCGACTGCACATCTTGTCTCCAAGTCCGGCCACTCGAGCGCCGATTTGTCCGTCATCTACCCCGCCGGCGCCCCACCCAGCCTGCAACCGGGTCAATCGGCTCTGCACACCTGCCCGCCCGTCGGCAAGGCGGCAACGTCGTCTAACGTCGTGTCGCCGGGCAACGCTGCTTCGACGCCGACCAGTAATCCTGCCGGCGGCCTCACGAGTCCCGCCACGACCGGTCTCAGCGGCATGTTGGTCGTCCACTTGATCGCCGGTTCGGGGCTCAACTCTTCGCATGTGTTGCTACGCGACTTGTACTGCGTGTTGGAGACGGATGCAATACGCAAAGCGCGTTCGATGATCCGGACGAGTCGAGAGTACTTTGAGTGGAATGAAGTGTTCGAGGTGGAGCTCGAGGAGAACCGATTCCTCGCGCTGCTCCTGTACCAATGGGACCCGAGGACGAGGCACCGTCTCTGTTTCTACGGCGGACTCGATCTGGTCTCGTTGCTGCAGACGTCGGCGCCGTCGTCGCAGCAGGCCGTGGCCGGATCCGGCGTCGACACGACGACGCCCGAATGCACCGGCCTCGGTACCACGACTGGCGTCGGCGTCGAATGTGGAATTGGGTCGTCAAGAGAGCGGATGGAGGAGACGAAACGGCGCCAACCGAGCCACGGATTCGGCGCGTTGCTGAGTCCTTTTGTGGCGTTGGCCAACGTGAAATTGGACAAGATCGCGCTGCAACTCGAGCCGAAAGGTCTGCTCTACCTGGAGCTGGGCTTTGTCTCCATGGGACAAGCGTACAGACGGCGTCAGTCGACACACGCCATCGTGGCGGCCAGTTCGACGGGGATCCTGTTCGGCGTGCGGATAGATCAGGTCGTGGAACGGGAGCATCGGGTCGTTGAGCTGATCGGACAGCGCGCCTATTCGACAGCTCTGATGGCCGGTCGGCACGGCCAGCAG